CCACGGCCGAGTGACCACTCGGTCAAAATCTGCTTCAGCTTCCCGCTGTTTTTTTTTTCGTTTTCTTCTCGATGTGCCCGCGCCCTTTCCCGTCCCCCTTTCTAATGGGGATGTTAGCCATGCTTTTTTTCTGGCATGCGTTGGTTGCTATTAAAGCGATACTTTTCGGCGATTATTTTTAATCGAGCAGCATTTAAATAATAATAATATGATGATCAAATAATAATAACAATAATAATATTATAATAGTAAACGCGAAACGTCTTTGAGAAACATTTTTTCGTGTATGTATATATATATATATATAAACATATAAGCATATACTGTGCAAATAGGGACACGCCAAGATTTCCAACGTCATAAAGTAGATGGCACTACGGCCAACCGTTTTGTATTAAGGCCGTATTTTCTTGCGGAATAGACTATATGTAGGTGATTCAGGTGGTTCATTATGAAATATTCGTGAATGAGCTTATCGTTTGCGACGAAGCATCTATTGCGTGGGATTTCGTCTTGTAGCATAGAATTGTCTCGTGGGCTACATTTTTTTCTCTTACCTGTAATTATATGCAATGTACTTCAAGGCCGAATCCCGTTCAAAAGATTTTACCATCCAATAGATACAGGTATATCGCGGGAGATCGAGCCTTTCTCTCTCTCTCTTTCTCTTTTTCTCTCTCTATCTCTTTCGTAAAAACCCGCGCGCCGAACGCTGGTCCGACCGTTCAGGTAATTAATGATCGCTAATTACCGGACATCTGGTGCTGGAAGGGATCCTTATTTACGACAGGGAGGTGGACGTCCATCTAAAGAAAGAAACGAAAAAGGAAATCATATGAAATCGCTAACGAGCTCTATTGTGAGGCACGTGCCGCTGTCCGCCTACGTATATCTTGAAATGCGACGGATCTTTTCCTCTTTTCTCGATTTGGCCAATCCTTCTGGCAGGATAACGGAAGGACGGGTCTCGATGGCGAGCTTTCGTGTTTCTTCCATTTGTTTGTCACCTCGTTTCCCACACTGGACCGAGTCATTATAATCCCTAGGGCGAGCGGATATACTCATTCAATCTTCGTCTTTTTTCTGCTGAATTCATATGCGTGAAACAGAACAGACAGAATTATAATATTAAATCCAGAAACGTGCGTTAAAGGCCGTTTTAACGTACGATTGTTTCTCATCCTCTATCGGTTGTAACGTAACGAGATAAATCGGAGAGCCGATCAATCGTTTGTTTTACTTCTTTTCCTGGCAATCTTTTTACTCTCTTTTATCGGACCTCGCGAGCGTTGAGAACTATAAAGATCTACGACGGATGTTCGTATTCGCCTGGATTCGTCAGCTCGCAAATAAATATATCAGACTACGTACGCGAGACTATGTAACCGATTCTTCGAGCAACTCGACGTGCATTAATCGACCATTTTGTCGGGGATCGAACATACCGCACGCGGACGCCCTTTTAAGGACGCTGCATCATATTCTCACGTGTATACATCGCTTTGACATCTCACTATGTCGTTTTGCGAGTCGTATTTCCCTCTGCGTAGCCTCCCTATGATCGCGCTTATATCCTTCTTAGGGCCATCCTTATCGTCGTAAGGAATGTTGTCCACTCTCTGCCGGCGCTGTTCGACAAGCGAGCGAGTGACATTGCCTTCTGCTGAAATTCGACTCGTACAAGTGGCCGTTAAAAAAGGGAAAAAGAGTACGAGGCGTCGATATTTTTATTCGTTTCGGTATCATTCGAGCGTACCACAGCGAATATCGTTGAAAAGCAACAGCGGATAACGACAATTAACGTTTGATGTTCTCCCGTGGATAGTAATTACAAACGAAAATGAGAACTAATTGCTTTTAATTTTATTGGGTCAATCAACACGTTCGTCTCGATTTTCTGTCTCCGATTATAAGCCGATTGTCTTTTATGATAGAGATATATGCATGCTAATGAAACATTGAAGAAGAATAGACATATATAAAGGTAGTGGTTACTTGGTTGATGAATAATTATTTACCATTAAATGCAATATTAAATACAAAATTAATCAAATTATATTAATAATATAATCAAATTATATTAATAATATATAAAATAAATTTGACTAAAAAATCAAACCGGACTTTTAAATTCGAATGTTTTAATCGATACACAAAAAAATATGTTAGGTTTAAATAAATAATTATTCCAATACTCCTTAGCAAATTTTTACTTGGATTATGTAAGTTTTACTTGGATAATTTACTTGAAAAATATTTTATTTGGGTCAATAAAATTTACTAAGGAAATGTTTAGATAAATTGGAACATTTACTTGAAAC